GACTCGATGGCACATAACAACATCAACAACATTAATATCACATGCAAGCAAAGATCCTGTTGAAAATTATCGAAAATTAACTGGAGCAGTACTTCGGTAGGGGGAGCTTCCAGATGTTAAGGCTGGATTTAGTAGAGACTGTGGCGCCAGGTGTATTATAGCCAATGTTAGATGAATCATAAATGAAGGCAGAGAGTACCAGAGGATTGCCTGTCTCTGTTTCATTGACTATGAAAAGGCCTTTGACTTTGTGGATCCTAACAAACTGTGGCTAACACTGAGAAAAATGAGAATCCCAGAACACTTCATTGTAGTTATGTGAAATCTATACTTGGACAAGGAGGCAGTTATTAGAGCCAGAAAACATTGTATGCTTCAAAATCAGGAAAGGTGTTTACAAGGTATCCCTCCTATTCTCCCCCGTTTTACAGTCTATATAAGAAAACGTCATCTGGGAGGTTCGGCTTTATGGGGAATTACGTAGTATCAGGATTGGAGGAAGACTCACCAACAACTTACATTATGTAAATGACACAACTTGATTGCTGAAACTGAGGAGGACCTAAGGCATTTACTACAGAAGGTCAAGTACTGCAGCCTTCAATATGGATTGAAACTCAACACCAAGAAAACAAAGATTTTCACCATGCACATGACAGGAATCTAAAATACTTGGCAAACATCACTTGTCTAATCAGGTATCAAAGGAATTTTTGCATTGGAATATCTGCTGTCAAGTACTTCTCCAAAGAAAAATGATGTCAGTTTATCCATTTTCTCCTGTTCATATATCCTCCTATTTTCACTGAGCAAGATATATATTCAAAACTGGAGATAAAGAGAAGGGGAAATAGGGACAGAAAAAGAGAGGAATGTCACTAGGATAACTGAGGTTAGTGGGTGGAGGGGCAAAACAGGAAAGGGGTCCATGATGGCTTGAAGAGAAGAGAAGATAATATGTATAGATTAATAATAATTACTTATGTAAGATACAATAAATATTTAGATTGTAAATAACTCTTTAACTGCTCCACAAATTGCTGTCTGTCAGATACTCCTCTAAATCTGAACATTCAGATCAAGACAGACTAGGAAGAAGGATTGGCCACCCACTTCTGAAATAGCAG